TGGCGGAGATGATTCTTGATAGTTTAGAGAAGGTACTCCATGCGAAATGCTCGTATTTTCTACTTCATTTTGTTCTGCAGCTAAACGACGTCTCTTCTTGTCCCGTCTGGATTCAAACTTTGCTCCTTTCAATTGTCTTGCCCATGGAGATATCACGTACAAAAACACACCAAATCCGACAAACTGTGCAACCCTCTTGAAGAAGATTTTCTGATTTTCATGCATTTGATTTTGAGTTATAGTTCTTGATATTACCACTTGAGTGCTCTGAGGGTTCACGGTGGGAGAATATCGCCATAAAAGAGGCGTATTTGAGCGAATTAATCGCGAGAGTTTGAGACTCTGTCTGTACATGGAGGCAGCCATCTTGACAAACGACCTCTCTTGTCGTCTTGACAATCAAATATACTGCTGTGCTGTGCTATGCCTGTACTGTGGATGTAATGAAGCGTTCGAAATCTTTATCTAAATTCTTCTAAGCATTTAATATGAGCAGAATAACGAACTTATGAGAAATTTTCAAGAATATTCAAATGAAAATCGGTGGAAAATGTATTGAGATACAGACGATGCAACACGAAATGACTAACGCGTAAAACTTGTTGCAACAACATGCAATCTAGGTCCATGATGAAATTTACGGCGGAGTCGAGTGACTCATAGGGGAATGCCCTGATAAGACGTGGTGACGCACTCTTTTCACGATGGAGTGTGACCACGCCCATTTTATGACTAATTTTTTTTTTATAAATGTACTGTTTCATTTTTACTTTTTTAACCATATTATCAATCTCGCTAAAATGTATTATTGTAAAAGGCATTGGTTATTGTCACCCCTCACTGTCTCACACGAGTGCTGTCGTCATATCGAGCTCTATAGGAGTCGGTAAAATATAAAACATATTCAATTCTATATTTATAAAACATAATCAATTAATTTAAAGTCTCATCTCCCTGTTAAAACCATATGTTGTTTTTCCTTTTTTTTATTATTCGACTCAAAGATTTTTTGTATTAAGTTGTAAAAAGTACTACGAGTAATTCCCTGTATTATATTCCAAAAGAGACATGCAGTAATCTTTGTCATTCCTAGTTATTTTAATCATTACATTTACACTCAATTATCTATGTTACACCAGGGAGGTGAGACTATAAATTTGTTATCCAATGTTTAAAAAAGAAATTGAACATGATCCTATTTGTTTGGATTTTAATCAATACAATTCATTGAATCGAATTGAATTTTATGCCATAGGTCCAATAAGCATACAAACTGAGCATCGGACGAAGCCCCCGCCCCCAAGTAAGAAGGAAAACAAATATTAAATATTACATTGTTGCTTTTACTCTGTTAATTTTTCAGAAATAACAATAAAAACAGAAAGAAAAAAAGAAAATAAGAAGGAAAACAAACACAATCGCAAAGACTTTCAAGAAATTAATTAAAGGGCAAATTTAAATAGCATTTATTGTATTGCTTATGATGTAATCCAGGCATTATGTAGCTGCATGCGATCATGATACTTTTCAAGTTTCAAAGAGTGATTGACAAGACATTTTAAAAAGTTTTAATTCACCTATTTCTTGTAAATGATCAAGGATGATTCTTGAATGATCAGTTATTTCACGGGGAAACCAATTAATTTGTATTTAACCTGTTTATATGCTTGTGTAGTTATCTATTTTGTTTTTGATGCTGTTATAATGTTTTATTCTTACCAAACAGGGCCTCTTGGAAGACCACCAAATTGGTGATATGTGCTACCCTGTATAAATATCAGAAATAATAAATAAATAAATGAATAAATAAAGAGTGCCTAATATAGGTTAACCGATTCTTCTAATTTCTTTCCGATCTAACTTGAAATGTATAACTGCAAATACTTATTGTTACACTTTTGATGGCGTTCCATGGTTCTTAGTTCAAGTAAATCCCTCTTATGACATGACATATATTTAAGACATTTATTTTCTGCTGTACAGACACAAACATGGCAGCTCAATTTCATACCATTCACCGATTAGTAACATACTGGTATTCGGTATGGCATAGCCCAGGGAGAGGGAACCCCCCCCCCCCCCTCCATACACGTATGCTCGTTCCCTCCCTTTAAAAGCACCCAAAAGGACTGCCAAAATTTATGAACCAAGTTTCGCGAACTTTTCCTCCCTTGGAGAACCCCCTTAATCAATGTTCTATGATATTCAAGATATGTTATAACCATAGAGATATATACTTAATAACACTTTATCTCTATGGTTATAACCCCCTTTTTTAATTTCTCAGGAGTCTAAAGAGAGCGAAAAAAACACACCTCTTTTTTAAAAAAATCTCTGGGTGAAAATCAAATACAAACTTTTTTATGTTTGAACTAAAAGTTGTATTATCTTATGATACAAAGGGATTGCGTGCATGAATTTGATGTCAGTATCAGTAATCATATTTACTTGGGCGCACCACCTATCCTCCTATACTGTAAACAGATTGTCATGTTGGAGAGGATTTGGGACTTTGATCCCCTCTGCCCCCCCCCCCGCCTCCCCTCCCAAGCATTGATAGGTGTAGAAGGATTAGGGAAGGGGGTCATGTATGCAATTGAACGCTGTCAAAGAATACGATTCGTAATATGTTTTTAATATTATTATATAGTGCCTTATTTTGTTGGGAGGATTCAACAAAAAAAAGGTAAATGGATCCCCGTTTCTCCCACACGGACTCAAAATAGAAAAGGAAAAGGAGATCGAGAGGGAGGCTATGACGTGACGCATATATACACTCTACCTTTTATACAGATATAATTATTATATCAGGCAAATTATGAGAAATTGTTATAGGATCATGGTACCTGAAATTTCCCTTTATTCTAATATCATAGTTAAAAGAGAGAGGACTGCAGCCCCCACCATCTCCGTCCTCGTTATGTCGAGATGCTCTCGGTCGACTGGTCAAGATGATATGCCTAACATTCTGGAGGCTTTTTTTTTCAAGACAAGGAAAGTGTTTACCGCGATAAAACACATACATGCACAGCGACCTCTAGAGTATAGAGGTAAAGAGGTAAAGTTTCTACTTTTCACAGCTTTTTTTAAACTCGTGAAATATAGGCTATACTATCACGGAAAATACTCAGTTTTAATCAAAATCTCACAGTGTTTGATGTATTAACTTAGTTGTCATTTGCGATGGAAGCATGATATGGATAATGATGATGAAGATAATGAGAATGAGTGAAATTATTTATTATTTTGACCTAAACAGTGGCTAATCTTTGGTCCAGAATAGATATTTGGGGGGTGGGGGCACTGGATTAAAAAAAAAAATGAATGGATGACATAATCCAGTGATTTTTTTTCTCCGGGGGGGGGGGGGGGGGGGGGGGGGGTACAGAGTTCCAATGGGACCCTGAGATATTGAAATCGGAATTTTAACCCAAATTTTCAACTTGAGGAACTTAGATAGACCCGTGTTCCCCCATGTATATGCTCCCCTATTTGGAGAAATAGAGATATGGATATAAATTATAGAAAGAAGATTGAAAATTGACCTGGATGTGCATTTTCAAGTAGACTTGGTAAGCCCCAATAAGGAGTAATAATGGATATGCAGAGTAAAGTATATAATTAGTAGGCCTATATAACTGATTTGAGTTGAGTTGAGTTGAGTTTGAAGTTTATTATCCAAAACAAAAAGTACATTAATATAACAATCAAATGTGAATGATTAATTAACATTGAAAGGATAAATGGGACCAGAAAATAGCATTTAATGCTAATCCTGTCTAGTACCACTAACACACAAAACGTATCACAGCAATAAATGAGAAAGTAATGAATAAAATAATAACTATTGAATACATACTTAAGCTACAAACTATTCTATAGGGTAAATATGTTCTGTGCTTATATACAAAGCTTTGGTATTTTACACTAAATAAAAGATGAAGAATTATATAACATAATATTTACAAAAAGGCAAGAGCCTTGGTTCTAAGTTATAAACAACAGTTTCTATTAACATTTGTGATATAAGAGTTTTACGAAAGCAAGACACTGATGCTTTCTTCCGTACAGAAAGGGGTAGATCATTCCAATAGCTTGTGCCTCTGAATGACATTGAAAATTTACCTTGCGTTGTCCTTACTTTAGGCACACTTAACTTCTTACTTTCTCTTGTCTAGTCTCATAGTTGTGCTCTATGAAACAGCAATACTGAATTAGAGACTGTGGCTATTTATCATTCAATAATTGATACATAAAAATACAAATAGATAATTTATGGAGTTGATACATATTCAATCATTTTAGCTCCTGGAATATCGGTTGTGAATGAGTCCTAATGAGTCCTAACTCAACTTCTCATTTGCAGGGGGGGGGGGGGGGGGATACTCGTGCCTCGAAGCCCATACCCATAATTAGAGGTCATTTTGGGGTCCTTTTTCTCGTAAAAAGACCCATTTTTCTAAAAAAATTGGGTGTTTTTCCGAGAAAAAAATTGCAAATTTGGGAAGTTTTAAAAAAACGGACCAATTCTTAATGGTATTTTTGTTAAAAGTGGGACCCATGTTTAGGGACTTTTTGTGAAAAAGTTACCCATTAGAGCGGCACACCCCTGTATGTCTTAATATCTGAGTACCCCCCCTCCCCCCGGCTCATATGTGACCCCTTCCTCTCCCTCCTCTCCCCCACCCCCCCCCCCCCCCCCCCCCCCCACCCGGTCCCCGCCCTAAATCATGATCAGTTTATTCCAGTGCATCATATAAAATGAAATGACTGAATGTTTCAACAATACAGTCTGCAACACTACAAGACTAAAGAGGAGGAAAATAAAAAGTTTCTTAAAAACAGATTAAAAAAACATATTGCTGCGGTTTCTCACGGCATACCACTTTTCATGGCATACTGTTTCGTACTCCTCCGCGCTGCCTTTGTAAACAATCTCCTCCAGCTAGCTAGCTTGCATGCTATATGCACGCACAAACTACACACACATATGCACAACGTATATAGCATGCAAGTCGCATTGTATTCACACATGCCCCACAACCAGCCTACCGATATTATCAAGTCATGAAAGGTCGACAGAATCTTTCTAATTTCGAGCTGCACAGAACTGGTACTTTCTAAGAGTCAATTTCAACTACTATTTCAGTTGATGATTAATGTTAAGCTATACGTGATGATAGTTATTTTGGTGTGAGAAAGGGAGAAAACGACAGTTTTAGGACTTGGGAGTTGAATGTTGACTCGCGGATTCCGTAAGGTGAGAAGCGTACGATCGCCTGAGGATCAAGCCGCAGCGCAGGGGCAAGGCTGAACGATTTACTGCTCTGTTGAAGAGCACTGCCACTGGCTGTGCACATCACCTTTGACTGTTTTGTGTGCGAAACATCTTTAATCTTATTTTGTATCATCTTTAATTTGTTCATCTACAGAAACACCTTATGACAGTGGGTCGTTGTTCTAAACCAAATCATCTGCCTGGTCTTCAAACCACGTTTTTGAGCTGAAAATGGAGCCAAAATTGATTTCCAGACTGCACGATGACTTGATGTATGGCTTCCAATTCCAAGCATTTGTTGGATGTGTGGCATTTTTGTTCTCTGTCTGTGAATAGAACTGGATTGGGGATTGTTCAGAGCGAAAAGTGAAGGACTGGGACACAAAAATCAATAACTAGGAAGTAACTTATCACCTTATTTGGAAGAATATAGATGTCATCATGTTATCGAAGAGAGTCTGCAGGTTACTCATCTGTGTTGTTTTACTGGGAACACTGGCAAAGCAAAGCAGGGCATGTCCATCGAACTGCAACTGTGATGTGAGGGAGAAGGGCCGTGGAAAGTGGGGAGGGGAAAGAGGAGGTAGCAAGGCCAGACGCGTGTTGGAGTGTACTGGTCGCAGTCTTACAAGACCTATACCAGTTAATGCAATCCCAGAAGATACAGTGTTATTGTAAGTATAACTTTTATTCATAGGGACTTGGGGTCTACATGAATTTGAGTAGAGAATCATTAACAAGCAGAACAATCTAACAATTTTAGATCTTTAGAAGAGATATTAATTTGAAAATTTGATTTTGAGAGAATTCTCTTAATGATAATAATAATATTAACATTTATTTATAGCGTTTAATATTTTAAGAGCTGTACTATTATTACCCCCGCATTAGCTGAGCAGCCTGATAAGGCGCTCAGGCATTTGAGGAATTTCTTCCAACCAGGTACCCATTTACATCACCCGGGTGGGGAATGGCAAATGCGTATTAATGTCTTGCGAGAGGATATTAGGACCGCAGCAGCAGCACTCCAACCACAAACCATGTGACCCACAGGCAAGTGGTGTATCCACTACACCACTACACCTACAATGTACATGTACACATTATTATTGCTGTTTGAAAAATATATGCCCCACCCAAGGACTTATTATACGCATGCAAAATTCAATGTACCGGTAAATTCTTCCAAAGAGCATAGGCCTATCCTCCATTTAGAGCATTGTAAGCTTGAATGTGTCATTCAATTGATTTGGCCTGGTCGAAATAGTGCCTTTAAAAAAAATGTCACATTCTCAAGAAAAATAAAACAGGAAAAAATAATTTTTAACATATATTTGTATACACAAAAAATGACAAAACTTGGTAAAGATATGAATAATTCAAATGTTAAGTGTATACAGTACCTGTATGTACTAGCCTACACTTTCATTCTTTAAATGGGGTCATCTGTCATCTGATTCTTTGCCATTTGGACTTTTTAGGTTATTGTAATTTTAGTTTAGTTGTAGGTCTCGTTAGTGTAACTCAGATATAATAATGATAATTTACCAAAGCTCATATCACAAATAGCTAATGGAGAAAGGGAAAGAAGTGAAAAAGAATTTAGAACAGTGAGATCATTGAGATGGTATGAAGGGGTGACTTAGCCCCCTAGGGCCAGTTTCACCAAACCGTTATAAGTCTAAGCTCATTGACATCCCATAGTATAACACACGTTTCAATGGCATGTTCAAGAAGTTATACTTTATGATTCAGGGAAAAAAAAAATTTCAGGGGCTGCTTTTCAAATTTGCCTGATGGAAATAACACTCTTTAATTTGTTTTGCATTGAAAAATGATTGAACTCTATGAACATTTTTGGGGCTCTTTTATGACTTTCGGGGGCTCTTTTTGGCATTTCAAATTCACCCCCTTGTATTTTTTCCCTGTTATGATGGTTACCGGTAGAGAAATGGTCCCCTTGGCTTTTAAACCCTGTGATACCTAGCCTGACCGCTAGTCTACTGACCGCTCCTATTGTAATCCCTGGTTCGATCCTTCTTTTCTCTCTGATCCTTTGATGGGGTATCCAGCCCCCGGCTATTGTCCAGTGGTAAAGTCATCAGGCTGCCCATTGTCTCAATTTGTTATGTAAGACTGGAAGCTTACAATGGCTTTCGAACAGTTAGGATGATCCAACACGGAGTGATTTTAAAGACAGAGGGAGATATACAGTACATGTACATGTAGTTTAAGACTTTAAGCAACTTTCACTGTCGATATGCTCGTGAACATCATGTAGACCCCTGATACTGTAGTGTACAGGTACAAGGTTATTTGAGATAAATTGTAGTCAATAAAGTCATACTTAAGGCTGTGCACAACAGTGTAATGAGGTTAGTGGTACCCGAGTACACTCCCAGGCTCACAAGCGAATACTCGAATATTCGGACGCCATGTTTTTTATAATTTTTTTGAATTTTTTGATTTTTTTTTTCCTTCTTTTTTTGCCACCACCATACCACTGGTGCAGTATCCCAGTATCGCCGAAAACACATGCAATTTTACTTCGAGTCGCAGTTGATGGCACCGATTTAATAATAATAATAATAACAGTAAAAAATGCTGTTTTAAAAGCCAAAGATGGCAGAATAATCCATTGTCCTCCGAGTCCAAACAGAAATCTGGACATTTGGTCCCAGTTTCTGAGTGGTGAGTTTGACAGTGCTTGAGTTGGGAAACATTTTTACCGACGATACCATGCCAGCGGCCACTGCTCTCCCTTGCACGGCTAAGCGTTGGCCTGGACAGGTTTTTTTTTTTTTTTTTTTGCGGCCGAATATTCGGGTATGAGAAATCGTACCCGAGTAGTTGTCAACCGTGCGGGTACTCGAGCATTCGACTACCCGTCGCAGCCTTAGTCATACTACATTTACATGTCTGCATCATTTAACAGATACATATGGGCATTTCCACGGTAATAGGGTACTTCTGTGTGTGAAAGAATAAAGCGCTTACAGAAAAATTAAATAAATATCCTGTGGCTTTCTGTGTTTTTATTTTCATTGTTGATGGTATAAAGAAATAAAAAAGACAATTCCATGCACTAATAATGTCATTTGGTTGTGTTGTCCTCTTTTCTTTAATGATTATTATTAAAAATTCCAAAGTACAATCAGTAAATGTTGAGTGGTGTGATTTTGAGGGTGATGCAAATAAAAATTCTAAAAAGAAATTGATGTTTCATGTTTTGAAAAGAGATTTTGATGCGGGTGGATTACGGCATTGATCATAGTTACGGCGATTGAGCTTTAAAGAGAGAGAGTGAGAGAGTTGAAAATTACATTGGCTGAATGAGAGATTCTGTCCACCTGTGTTACGTACGTTCAGAGTGAATTTTCCCACAATTATTAGTTGTGTCACCCAACAGTTTTATGTGCTTTGCAACTCTTTTGATGAAGGTTGAAATGTAGACCAAGAAAAAAATCGTCAAAATAAACGCAAATAGAGATAAAATCTATTCAAAATTTGGAGTGCAATATTCGGTCCAACTCACGAACGTACGTAACAACTAAAAAAACGGACCGTGGCGTCCGCGAATATGACGCATGGATAATCCACGTATCAGTCAAGTGAACCAAGGCACTGCAACGTTTGATTGTACTTGCAATCCATGCGCTGACTTCTACAATCGCGGGGCCGTGTAGCTCTATATAACTTCTGTCCAGTTTGTGCGTACGTTCACGGTTGCTGGTAGTTAGAACGACACGTACGCACGATGGACAGAAATGCTATTCGGTCTTATTTACGTACGTTTTTTCGCGGGGTTCCGTGAGCAGCAGACGACATCCGATCGTAATCATTGGAGTATCAACTCAACATTAGATTAGATCTAGGCTTTGAAAATCGTGGAATGGTACGTATTTGTTATTCAAAATCTTTTTGAAATACAGTAAAAGATCATGTTTCCGAAAATGAGTCATGTGTAACTTTAGTGGTGTACGATTATATTTTCCTCTTCTTGTCTAGCTAGTGGTCTGCTAGTGCTAAATTTTAACGTGTAGTGATATTATTACATTACAGTCCCATATGTAGCTTTTCATGTATGCAACACTGGTAACTCTCGCCGATCTCGCATTTTCAATAGGTGCAACCGCAACCCAATTTAGCTCACTCAAAAAAAGCAACTGCAGTTGCCTAAATCAAGAACAAAAAAAAACAAATTTATACTTACCAACAGCTTGCTTGATTACTTAATGTTGGTTATCTTCAATAAATTGTGTTTTCTTCAAAAGGTCGCATTGTTGTTATGGTTGAAGAAGGATTACTGTTAAATAATTTACAGCATACAAGAGTGTTTTGTTGTACACAATTAAGTTTTATCTCAATTAGAATAATTACATGAATTAATTCACTTTGAAACATTAATCAGCCCCAGAATATGTGATTTCATTTTTCTCCAGCTGAGTGAAGTCTACAGAAAAAAATCATTTGGAATAATAATTAATTGTAACAGTATCAAGTCAATATTTCTTGGGGAAATTGGAGTAAATAATGTTTCACAAGTAGCAATTTTAAGGGTTGAAACATCACCTTTTTGAAATGAGACACTTTTATTTGCAATAGATATTTAATCTGTCAATCCACATGTATTGTTCTTCATTTCAGCTGCCAGAGAAAGGTAGAAGACTTCATATCACAGTGTACCAATACTTGTGCAAGCAAACATGACATTAACTGTAAAGCTTCGTTCGCCAACTCGACCCCCATCACCAACAGCTGATACATCAAAATCTAACGCTGCAGAGAGGATGAGGAAGAAACGAGCAAAATTAAAGGAAGATCCCTCTGCATATGCAGCTTTTTGTGCCAAGGAAGCTGCACGCCAACGACAATATCGGAAGAATCTGACTGCTGGAAAATTGGCACAAAGACACAATTATTTACTGAAAATATTTAATGAATGCTCAATTGAATTGATGCATTATAATATGCAAAATAACCCATTGAGTATGCAGTGTCAAATCTTTTTTGAATTTCAGATCTGAATTACATCAAAATGATTGTTATAAATACATGTATTTGATTTGAACTTACTTGAAATGAATGATCATAATTTTGAGCAAAAATAGAATTAAATAGAGCATTTATGAAAAATGAAGAAATATAAAAGGTAAATATCATACACATTGTAGTTAGCAGATAAAAGAACTCTAGAATAAAAGCATACAAATCCTGTATAGACAATTTGTAATTAACGACATGATGTTTGTGAAATATCAATGAATAGTGTTTGCCTTTTATTCTATATTGTGTCAACTACTTTCCCAGTCTTGATGGGAATTGATTACAAGCTAATGCTTACATGTAGTGAAATGCATGCTCAATTGTTTAACAGTCTGTTATTATTGGGCTCTGTGTCCGAGACACATTTTGGCTACTGACTATTAAAGACCTAGACTACTTTTAAATTTGTATATAAGGTTTTGTGAAATTTCAATTTCAATGAAATGATTAGTGTTTGCCTTTTATTCTATATTGTGCCAACTTCTTTCCATGTGACTATAGTTACTATCTTATCATTTTTTAAATTTGAATTTGCAATTCAGGTGTTCATAATTGTATAAATTTATATAAATGGTTCATCCATGGACAATTTAAGTTGTACACTGAAGTTTGTTGCTTGCTTTTGCAGTTGGTCAAAAGATTAATGAGAGGTGAGATAAGATTTCAAAACTATCAATTAATCTATTTTACAGATTTACAAACCGTATATCAGTTGGCAAATTCATTGATTTCATTATACTTAATAATTAAAGACCATTCACATTTCACTTATTCTCCACAATTTAAAATGATCAATACAATGAAACATTTTAACCTATGCAACGCTTATGAATATATTGATTATGAAATATGTGTCCCAAAACAGAATTCAAACAAACGTTTAGATGCCTGTTCTGTCCAACCGTTACATACGTTCCCTATTCTTATTAATTGGTTCCAACATGCATCAACAATTATAACTTCTAGATTTTATTTTATCCTGGAATATATGAACATAGCATCAACATCCAGTACACAGTGACACCAAATTAATAGAGTACGCACCATTAAAACATGTGTGAAAGATTTATTCATTCAATAATACATGATACATTGCAAACATTCCTTAAATATTTGTTTTTCTGATTCACAAAAAAAGCTATAAAATTTTTTTTAAAAAGAAGCAAATTCTGAGATGATTGTTAAATTGATGTTTTATTGATACTTAACTCACATGAATGAACATTGCATTTATATATTGAGCAAATAATAAATCAGAGGTAATTTAAGTTACAAATTTCTGTCCAATGTTACATACGTTCCCCCCAATACATGTCCTACTTTACGACCTCTGCAAAGTTAACATGAAATCACACTTATCTTTTCCCTCATAAATATATAGAATATAGATATTGGACAAGCAAAGGGAGAAATTTGATTGCTCTAGGGGTGAAAACAATTTTGACCATATTTACATCACAGAAGTACCCACTTAACATGGAAATGCCCATATCTTCTTTGTGGCCAAGTTTAGACAAAAATGAATTGAACGATCCCTGCTAAGTTTATTTTTGTCTGGAGTTCTCTAGAATATTGTACGTGAAATGTAGTACAGTTGTTGAAATAGTTTACCAACATATTCAAATTTATGGATGTTTCCTTCCTTGAGACCTAGTGAGTAGTGACGAGTTAAATTATCCTATTATTAATGAATAAATTACAATACTAGGTATCGAGTCTGCATACATTACACGTTGCTATGTCAGGCCAGCATTATGTTGTCAAGAACAACCTTTGTTTAGAAAGTATACATAAAATGGAAAGTATACATAAAATGATGTTAGTACCTCATACATTTGATTTGCCACTTACATGTACAACATGTATGTTTAGAACAATTTTTTTGGTGGTCATATCAGTGGCAACATCATTTTACTACATGTAGTTACACCGCTTTAAAAAACTTTGCTACATGCATCTACAGTAGATGCACTATCGTTTTTGTGACCAATGAGCTTACATGGTTCATCATGTAGAATTTCTACTTGAATTCATAGCCAGCACAGTGAAATGAATGAAAAGATTTTTTTTTTAACAGATAGGCCTATACATGAACATGTTGCACCTTACATAACATTTGATTTGACCCCTTGCTACACGTACATTTGTACATGCAAAATACCCACTACCTATTGTATCCAGCAAATAATGATCAAGAAACGACTGAATACTAATCTTATTATGTTGAGCTTACTGCTTACATTTTGTAGGATAGAGCACCAATATGACATGTACATGTATACCCCTGCCCCGATACAGTGATCTATTGTAGTGTTAGGGATGCATGCATGTTGAAGGAGGGGAGTGTATGGTAGCTGCATGATGCATATGATGTATGACAAGGGAAAGCAAACATGTAATATTGCTCTGCCATTCCGTCCGCATCCATCCACCGCACTGTACTGCAATGTTGTGTACTCTAGAGGGAAAGCAAATGACTGGCTGGCTGCCTTATGGCTGGCTGGCTTGCTCGCAGGAGGAAGGTTGGCGAGATGAGATGAAATCTGGGATGAAGTCAAGGAGATGATAGATGGATGTGGCTTGTGACTGTGAGCTACATTATGTGCCAATACGTGTACATGTATTTCTGATGTGCTGAGGATTGCATCTACCAATGTTTGTAGTGCAGTATTGTAAAGAAATACAACATAGTCAGAATGCAGAATATAGTGTTGTTCATTCGTACATAATAATGTCAATGGTAAGATTCCGGACTCATCTTCACTATTACAATGGGAAAAATATAATTTCAGCAATACATACAGGTGTACATGTACATGTACACAAAAAAAGAAGATTATGTCATCTGTTGAGGGCCAGAAGGGCATTAGCTACATGTATGTGTTAAAGGTAAAGACCAGTTTTGGAAACGCCCCAATTTCAAAAAATGAAATGGAAGCTCTCATTACCAATCATGTGAAAGAATATGTTTTGACTAATACATGATGATAAAAAATTTGCCGGGATTCCGCCTACTAATTCATATATTTGGTAAATTTGTTTCTCTCATAGTCTGTGAGAGATATACATGTAGGGTAGTAGTCCCATATATCTTTCTGTGTATAGTGCTTGTAACTTTACGAAGAATGGGCCAAATTTCTTATCATTTTGATGATTCCAGAACCTTGCAGATGCTAGATGCTAGATGATCAACCTTTTCTGATCGATTCCACAACGTTTCTTTCACAATGCTATCGCATGACCATAACTGGTCTTTACCTTTAAAGTATTCATGTAGGCCTATACATGTACATGCTCCCAACATAATATTTGTACTGAACCACAAAGTCTCTGCAAAGAGATTAAAATCATTAAAATACAGTATCCAACTATCCATGTTGGTAAACCTCAACTTTTATAATATGTGGTAATCTGATAAAATGCTCACAGTCACTTCAGCGCAGATTTTGGTAGAGATGTGTGCATTCAGACAGAGCTCTATCATCTAAATATTTGGTTGCCAATTTGGCAATTTCGTCGCTGAAGTTACATTTGAAATCATGAAATCTGCCTTTTACTTCATAGTTTTTAGAATTCAGGATATTTCCTTTTGCTGCTCTTCAGATTAAGTTTAGGAAGACAATGATTCATTCTGCTCCCTGTTCCCCTGATGAGCCTTACATCACCCTATGTTCATCTTGAATCTGCATCACATCTTGACCTCGACCTCACACCCCTTTCATCCAATGCCGAAATTTACCAAGAGGGTCCAGTGGGCATAAACAGTTGAACCATTTTGTATCTTCATCAATGCCATCATCATCATTCAGAAGTTTTTTTTTCACAGTTATTGTAGTCTTGCAATTGAATTCACACCCTGTTGCCTTTGATCCAATTATTCTAGCAGCGTTCTGGGCCCCAAGGCCTTTGATGTTGGTGGTCGTCAATGGATGAATTATGAATTTAAAATCATTATTCTTTCTGTGATGATGTGCACAAAGTGCTCTAAAGCATCAAGCATGTGGAGAATAAGTTTGTGTACCTGAGGGATGTTGAGAGAGAAGATAGATGTAGGCCTACATTTTAATAGTTATTTGTAGGTCTTCATGCTATACATGAAGGTTCAATATTTCATAAAAATATAATTTTCTCATGACCAGGTAAAATTTATTAAAGTAGAGTTTGAAAGATTAATTTGCCTATGTTTTACATAACTTTGGTCATGATAAATCATCATAGGAATGGTTTCATCATAATCATCACCATCATAATCTTTAGCATTTCAGAGAAATGTTCAACTGGCTTTGTTTTGTTCTATAGTAGCTGAAACCATTTTAATCGTATTTTGTAAAGTATTTAATTTGATAGACCCACAGTAGTAGAACCATCCACAAGTTTACTATTCCAAATGTTTAAGAAACATACACAAACTTTGTGAAATACAGATTACCAAGATGGGTAAGGGTACAAATGATGAACGAATAGCATTTAAAGACAAATTTATTCATCTTTAACCACATCCATGTTTTACTTGTAAAAGATAAACTTCCTACATTGTATAGCACATTAAAAGATATTTAAAAAAAGAAAGAAAAAGAAAGATCCATATTTTAAATTGTACACATAACAAACAAAAAAATACTAGTTTAGCTTGGTCATTGTCTCTCTAATAATATAGCCTACAAAAAGTTTATTCAGTTAAAAACTTTTGTTTTGACTCATTACAGAAGACTTTATAAGAATAAGGTATATTTGTAAACTTATTTTTATTAAGACATTACAAAGAAGAAAAAAATATATTGACCACTGAGCAGTAAACCTTGCTAGCATAGCTCAACTGGAAAAAGTATAAACTAATTCACATCACTTCAGGTCACTAGTCTCTTCCTAGTCAGCAAGCACAGTCTCTAATTCAACCAAAATTTCTAAAGCCTTGAGCAGAGCCCAGACCTGTCATTTTCTTCCTCTGTCAGGAATAGCTAAAATACAGGCTACAGAGCCTATTGTAGTCTTATGGTGCAGACTCTAAATGCACAATGATTGACAAAGATTTGTGCCTGTAAACTACCGGTAGTCTCTCTCTGCACACAAACACACATTTTTCTATACCAAGGAGTTAAATTTAGGAAACTCCTAGGATAATAATGCAGTGAGCAGGATCAGGTTTTTATCTCTATACTATCCTTCACTGGAATGTGAAAGAGAGCTCATAAAACTGTCACATTAGGTGTCTTTAACAACTGAAAATTGATTTACTGCTCGAGGAGTGCACCTGCACTACGTGTTTACATGTATACATGTACATGCACCATAGGCCTGTTTTCATCAGCTCGAGATTGCTAAATAGCCCACTATTTCTGATTGGGAAATAATCCTGAAGTTACAAATCGCGTCTTCATCAGCTCGAGACTTGAAACTCAAGCTTGAGATATTTTGCTCAGCGTTTGCGCATACATGTAGTGTGAGTCTTGAGTCAGGCTGGTGAGTACGCACCGGACAAATAGCGGGATATTTTGCAAACTAGCCCAAGATATCTCGGGATGATTATCTCGACCAAATATCCAGCTAAATTGCAACTTCGGGCTGATGAAGATGCAAATTAACTGGATAATTTGCGATCTGGATAGTTCAAATAGCGGGATATTTTGCAATCTCACGCTGATGAAAACAGGCCTTATGTAAGGAAGAATTCTGTTTGATTTGTAATCTAGATCTAGATTTAAAATTGTGGAAGGGAGAAGAGCTGTAGCGCTATATTGTGTATTGGTAGCCTCATTGTGGTATTTTCATGATTCTTTTATTCGAGGTGAGTTTCCCAATTATTGTGAGTTTTCTTTCCTATTTTGTTTTCACATGAACTTAATTCTTCCCTTGTATTAAACATAATACATTGCATGTTTACTGTGGGATGGGTTAAAATGAAAGCAAGAATACACTACTTAAAAAAAAAAGCCTTACCCTTTGAACATGTGCATTATATTTCTACTTGCTGTATTTAAAATTGGACCAAACACTGTACCTGTAGGCCTACAGTCAGTAGTCTGTAAAATGTGGTCAGATCTCATTCTTTGCTGGAAGCTTCGGGACCGGATCCCAGTGTGAGCTCTTTCCTTCAAGCCAGGCACAGCCAACCAACCAACCAACCATGCCATTCCTTTGAGCTGCAGGGGTGGGTGGGAGGGGTCTGTGTTTCCAGCCTGATTGACAGCTACATGTACATGTACATGTACATGTACAAATGCATGTAGGCCTGTAAATGGGAATGGTCGTCAGGTATCACCTACATTATTGTAGGACCTCCACCCCCACCCCTAGTTTGCAGACACAAACACTTGTGTCATGCGTTAGGCCATTATAAGAAAAATAAAAATAATGTTAAGCGTACCCGTCCGCTTCCTTTTTTTTAGGCCGCTTTTTTTTCTCTTCTCTTCATATTTTTTCCAATTGTTTTTTTAATGAAAAAAACATGAAAAACATACCGCTGGGGAAAATTTACCAAGCGGCCATGTTCAACAGAAAAAAGCCTCCTTCCCATTTTTTTATTTTTTCAAAAAGGCAGGACGCTAAACATGTTTTTTTTTAATGGCCTTAGTGTACCGTGTCAGAAACATGTATTTTGGGGGTCTGTAATGCATTGATGAAGTCATCCTGCTATTCCTTCTTTATTTTCTCTTGATCACAATAAGATAGATCATTCACTTACATACATACATGTACATGTAATGCATTTAATAGGTACATTGTAGTACTAGTAGGAAGTTTGTTGCTCTTCACAGTGCATTTTGAGTTTGTTTTGCGCACTCATGTAAATAATTTATCAGAAACTGCAATGTTGTATTACCGGGCACATGAAAATGTTTCTGGTTTTACAGTAATTTTTGTATGTCCTGGAATTCCTTACTGCCATACTCGAACAATGCAAGAAGTGTCTGAAAACACATCTTTTCTAATTTGTTGTAATATTCCTTTCTGTTTGTAATTAATGTAAGCTTTGTATGATAATGTTCTCTCTTTTTGTTTGTTTAATTTTCTTGTTTATGCGCTTTGTATCTAATGAAAAGGCGCTTTATAAATATAATATTATTATTATTAGGTGGTCTGTCGATGACAGATCACCTATTGATTTCGTTAGAATTTTCTTTCTTTATTCTTTATTCTTTATTCTTTATTCTTTCTTTATTTATTTTTATTTATTCCGTACACTTTTTTTGTGTATACGTTTACTCGAACTCGACCTGGTCAATTTCCTTCAAATTTCTGCTAGTCATCAGGCCCTATGATATGAAGTTCCCGAAACCTTTTTCAAGTTCATGGGGTCATCGTGACGTCATCCAGGCGCCATTTTGTAAAAATCAGGTCATTATCATATCTCAATAACGAGTAATCAAAAATAAACCATATTTAGTATACATCAACTTCCGGTCAAAGGTCAACTAAAAATGTCAACAAAATCCGTGCGCGCACCTCGACGCGCACGTACGCCCGCTTAAAATTTTTAAAATGCTCCAATTCGTCCCAAATTTTGTTTGCACACGTTTCAGGTCATTTTAAGCATTTCAAAATTTTCCGTCCGTAAGTGTCCCCGCGCGCGTTGCGCGCGCTCACAGCGCGCGTAAAAAGTCAAATTTAATTTTTTTACATGATTTAGATTCCTCTTACCGTAAATGACAATTTACATTAATTTCAGTCACTCTTGACCTTTCATAAGGCCGTGAGCGCGCGTCAAAGTTCAAAATCCGCGCGTGCTGCTATGGGCAATATAATGCAAATTTGATCAAAAACATGCCATTTTAAAAATCAAAATAGCTCTTCAGATAGTCCATTGACCCCCAATTTTTATATCATGGTTGGAAAAAGCATGAGTTGGAGATATGAATTCATGTCTCATTTGATCCTCAATTAACTCATGACGTCATCATAATGGCCTCCGAACTCAAAATTTCAATTTGCATATTATGACGTCAGCAGATTTTTGAAAAATTGATTGTATCTCTGTAAATATTGATCAATTTTCTTTCAAATTTTGATATGTTCTACCTGAGAATATTCTCTACAAAGGCAGTTGACACAATATTTCATTTTGACAATGGTATCATGGCGTATTTTTGCGATTAAAGGAGGCATGTCAATTTTTCACATTTTGCGTGTATTCTCTATGGGACATGACTTTTTCTCAAAACTGGATTCTACATTCTCGTCTTTCGCGAGCCATATCTCCGTCGTTTTATCTTTGTTTACGCTGAGCTTTGAGTGTGTTGTAGCTGAGACAATAAGCTATCACAAGTGTGCCCTTTATTTCTCGATCAGATGCCGGGATCATGCTCATATCTCACATACAAAGTGGGATTTGATAATTCCATTTTCCGTTTACGTGTAATCTCTATGGGAAATGTTTTGGTATATCGGTAACGCACTTGACTTCCGACCTCGAGGTCCCTGGTTCGAGTCCGGGCGTCTCCAACAATTTTTTTTCTTCACTTTTTTTTCTTTTTGACCTTTCACTCTACCATCTCCTTTGAATATTAAAACACGTACAATTGCAAATAATGTAATAAACAACCATATTTACTTTATTATTACCCTATTATCACTAGATCCATTACTTTTGGCGTGTAATCCTTATGGGAGATGACTTTTTCTCAAATCTGGATTCTACATTCTTGTCTTTTGCGAGCAATATCGCTGTTATTTCTGCTTGGTTTTTGTTGATTTTTGAGTATGTTGTAGCTGAGACTATACGCTATCTAAATGTTCTCTAATTTTGTTCAGTCTGATGTCATCGTGGTCTGTTGATGATAATCATCAACATCATCATGATCATCATGATCATCATCATCGTCATCCCCATTACTATCAAGATCATCATCATCATGATCATCATGATGATCATCATTGTTTACATGTCTATATAACTTCTCCCTTTCTCAATATAGTAAATATTATAATCTCTCATAAGACTTGAAGACAGACCACCTAATTCGTCCCCATGACGAATTAAATTTCTAGTTATTATTATTATCATTATTGTGTCTTGACACCTTTTATTCTTGTCATATAATGCAACAGCGGTAGAGTAGGTTCAGATTCAGCATTGTCTTTCATTCAAACTCTGTAATGGATACAGCCATACAGGGGGAGCTTTTGCTTGATTGTGATACAATGTTGACACAACAGCAAGCTTAATGTGGAATTGATTGCACAGAAGATTAGGGGCTCATTTTGGTGCGTTTGTTTGGGCTTCAAATGCAAATATACTTGTCATCTCCCAGTAATGCATCCTCTGTACACTAACACCTCAAACTGATTGGAACAAAAAATCTGTAGTGTTTATCACTTATCGCTCCTATTTCGTTGATGTACCTGTACATACAACACTGTATGTACATACATGTGGGCCTGTATCATGTAGCCTACATGTATATTGTTTTGAGTCACATTCACTGCAAAAAAGTCTTATAATGCAATAAACATCTCTTGAGTTCAGAATTCTGACTTAAGTGCAAGAGCCAGTGCGTTTGAATGTTTTTAACAGAATTATAGCACATATTAAAGGTATTACAAAGTTTTGGGAAATTTTGAAAAATGGGTGGATAGTGATTCTTTACAATTTTAATATATTTGGATGCCCCTGTGGGTGTATTAAAAACACCAGAAATGTTAGCCCCTAAAACACTTCTGCTTTCGAGAAAAAATGAATATAAAGATTTACCGGTGCTCCCGGTAAATTCTGATAAATTTCAAATAGCTCCTACGGCCGTACAATGGTAGCTGCGACCATGAAAATCTCAGTGTATGGAGTTGTGGAATATAATTTCCGAACGAGAATAGCTAATCAGTCAATTTTAGTCAATAAACATTGTTTTATAGCTTAATTAATATCTTGACCTTGAGAGGGAGCTATTCAACATAAAGTGTTTATTATTTACAATTTCATAACTTTAGAGTCGATTTCGACTGCGACAACGATCACTGAATATTGTAGGATCGTATATGCTTCCAATATGTTCATTTGAACCAAATTCATGACCCCGTACCAAAACTTTGTATTACCTTTAATGCTGTGAATCATCATCAACATCATCATTCTCCTCACCACCATTCTCCTCCTCATCATTTTCATCATCATCATCATCATCACCATCATCATCATCATCATCACCATCATCATCATCATCATCATCATCATCATCATCATCATCATCATCATCATCATCATCACCATCATCATCATCATCATCATCATCATCACCATCACCATCATCATCATCATCATCATCATCATCACCATCATCATCACCATCATCATCATCATCATCACCATCACCATCACCATCATCATCATCATCATCATCATCATCATCATCATCATCATCATCATCATCATCATCATCATCATCATCATCATCATCATCTTCATCATCATCATCATCATCAACAATATCATTTACACCAAAATCAATGAAGAATACACCAGGCATTTAGCATAAACTTCTTGTAATAATGTGTTTGGGAAATTTGTTTTTAGTGAGCTTTTGCACAATTTGTAATTTGATAAATTAATCATTTACTTAAATAAAAGGGCATACTTATTGCAATCATTAATTGTGTTTTAGAAATACTGATGAGATCTTTCTGAATCTGTTTCAATTTAGTTGTAGTAGCACATATATACATACAGTGTATGTATTGTTGAAAATATTAAAGATTTATATACCGTTATGTAACATTTATGTATGCCTTTGAGAATTGAGAAATAGAATAATTATAGAAATTAATATTATTAATTAACGTAAACAAGTATTCCATAAAAGTCATGCTTACCGGTAATACTTTACTCTCTTTGTTTTGCAGGGATTTGAGCAGCAACAACATGAAGACTATTCGTGGAGGTGCTTTTACTGGACTGAGTTCTGTTCAAATACTGTAAGTTATTAAAACAACATCATAAAGGCTTGTTCAGATATGAGGCAGCAAAATGGCAGCATTTTTGTTGTGACGAGGGTGAAGTGGAATATGCTTAACATTTCTGTATCTTATAACACAGAGCTCAGCGAATCAGTGCAGGACCCCGGCCCCCCCACTCAGAGGTCGGAATGACCGCATGCGTGTTGCCAAAATGTCCGGTAAAGGGGTACTTTTCGTGCGACAAAGTCCGGCCCGAGATTTGTAAAAAAAAGGGGTGTATTTGACTTTTCACCCGGAGATTTCTTTAAAAAGGGGGTGTTTTTCTTTTTTTCTCTCATCTCTTTGGAATCCTGAGAAATTATTCCGAATTTAGGGGGGTACATTGAGCATTTTTCCTGATTTAGGGGGGTCTCCAAGGCAGGAAAAGCCCGCAAAAAGCCCGCGAAAGGGGGGTTCGGAAATGTTGGCAGTCCTCAGATAGGGGGTGGTTTCAAAAAGAGGGTACGAGCATATGCGTACCCTAAATAACACTGAGTGGGGGGGGCCGGGTGCAGGACCTTTGTTGCGTGCAGAACTTTCCCTTTAGTTTACATTAAAAATAACACGGCAGCTTTTGTTTGCAGCAGGTACCGTGCCATTTCTGAACGAACCTTTATTCTGTAGAGAGCAAAACAATGATTTTGAAGTCAGAATATGCTTGTTTGTGTGCAGAATACAGTGGTGTGTTCAATAAATAAAATAACTTCAATCATAGTTTTGCTTTGGAAGAACCCTTTTTATGGTATAGATTTTTTGCAAATTTCTTTTCATGTACATGTAGTTCTACGAAATGAGATAATTATCATTTCGATTCTGTTACCTTGAAATTGCATAGGGTCTCGTGGTTTTTGATCATCTGCGTTCTATTGTAGAAATACACATGCAGTTTCTAATTGGCTTTTAATTCACTACCTGACCAGCGTTTCACGAAACCGCCATAAATGTACAAGCTTGATTACAAGTTTACAACCAATTGAAACATGTGTATTAAATTTAACTCACGTTTCGATGGCATGTCGTTGAACTTGTACTGATAGATGTATGACGGTTTCGTGAAACAATACCCTCAGCTCTATCAATAACTTGTTGTTGTTGTTGACATGTCCTGTATGTTTGTACAGTGTACATGTAGGTTACATCTATTGAAAGCATTGACCACACGATGACCACATGATGACCACATCTAGTCTACGTGTATCTCTATTGATTCACTAGTGTGGTGTGAAAGTTGAATTAATGATATCTTGTTCACACATGTTGCATTTTGTAGTTCCATTTTTTACAAAAATCTGCTTTTTACAGTACCGTAAGTTAAGTTATATTTTTTTGATTGGTTGTGAACTACCGATGAGCTCTAAATCACTATAGGCGGTGTCACACAGAAAAATCCCTTAAAAAAATCCTTTCAAGGGAGAATTTTCTTTCGTTAGAGGATTTTAAATGGATAATTGATGATAGACAGCAATTAAGAGGATAACTAAAATACGGATAACTGAAATCCAGATTTTTGGCCTCTGTGTGACACCACCTAATCAGTCATATTCAAGAATGCTTGTATATGTCCATGTAAATTACATGTACATGTCCTTGTATATGTCCTGTCCTGTATACATTTTGTTGGTTCTACATGTACAGTGTAGGTGTACAACGTATGTCTTCAAATCATTGACCACACGGTGCCCTTGTCCAGTATCTACGAATTCATCGGTGTGGTGTGAAAGTTGAAATAATGATCTCTCGTCCTCCGCACATGGGGTCCTGCCAACTCTTTACAAACCTGCGAAAGCCCCGAGTTGTGAGAAAGAGGTCTCCCACAATGGGTTATTCACAAGTTGCTCCGAAAGCTTTTGTGTGTGGAAGGAGCCATTTGAGATTGAACGAAAAGGACCGAGTTTCACCCAAGCTTGCTTGTTAGTATCCCGATTCATTAGCATCCCATTGGAATGTCCCTGCTAGATGTGATTTCTTTTTAAAGGGATGGCTGTGTTCTAGAAAAATGAAATGTCAAAATAGTCGAAATTGTACCGTGAGTCGCTCCGTTTCCATGGTAAGATTGATCTGGGAATATTGCAATGAGAGGAACAAACTATTCAGAGAGATGTGCTTTTATTTCTTAGCTATTAAAGTCAAGTACACCAATGTATGCTATAACTAAACTGCCCCCTCCCCCCCCCCCCCAGCTCAAGAGCATTATATTGAGGCAGTTTTATGGAAATAAAGATGACTGATTCATAGTGGTCTTACACATGTCCATGTAGTGTAGGGCATCATTAAAATTATACATACATGTACCTGTACAGAGTCATTATGAGATATTCAATTAATTTGCATTCATTGTTAGATAAAGTTGAATAAGAATATTACTCAATACAGAATTGTTCCTGTTGTTGTTGTTTGTTGTTATTATTAATATAATTATTATAAATTTGGCGTCACTTTCACCGGGAAGGCGAAAAAGGGAACTGATTCACTGTATATACCCTCTGGTCTCTCCTCCTGTTTGAGGGTGTGCAGAAAGAGATTATGAGAAGGTTTCTGTGATATTAAGTCTACGTTAATTGATTTGCTATTTTAATACATGAAGTGCTGGATCGCCCTTGCTGTGTCCAGACAGCGTCCGCTGCAAGGATTTCTGAATTGAATTTTCATAGTATACAACAGGAGACATGGCCGATGTGATGCCTTTAAGAAGGAGAGCCCATTGACTATTGTACTCCACACAATGGGGTCAATTTGCCATGGAACCTCAAAGTGAGTGAGGCAGGCAGGCATTCCCCTCCCTAGCCAGTCCATTGAAAGGACATCGGATTCTATGGAGAAAGAAACACTCAATAGATTAGTCAATACAGGTGAGGGGAATAGAGAGAGAGAGAGAGAGAGAGAGAGAGAAAGAGAGAGAGAGGGGGAGAGAGAGAGGTGGAGGGCACAGGAAAGCAAGAAAGTAATAAAAACAAAGTAAATACTATTGTTATTTATACTAGTAAGGTTCAAATGGCGGTCCGATAACTTTAAATTTTAATCATCAAAATGATGTTGTAGTAAGGTACCATGCAGACATACATGTACATTACGTCAAATTTACTTGAAGTTATAAACTATTAGTGATCTTAAGGTTAGCCAGATAACTACAACCAGCCTGGGGTTCCTCACTCAATGTTTTGTTCCGTGTTGACACAATTAACTCATCGTTTTGGTCCATTGTGATCCGTTGTCATTGTTAGTGTCTTGTGTTTTATAATTTCAAGTTTTGCATACTTAAAATTAAAAACCATGTGAACATAACTTAGGTCAAAACCTAGAAGTTTAAAGTTAATCTATTTTAGACTGAATTAGAGACATCTCTTTTGTGTGAGATCAGCAGGCACAAATACTGCAAATGGCTCAGATTTTGTAGTGAGTTAGGTAGTGTGACAGGGGTAAAAGCTATTTTGTGGCATTCCTCCATACCAAATTGCTTCAAGTTTCATACCTACTGCCTTACAGTATGATTAGTCTGCATGCACAGACTCGAGTTTGACAGTTTACCACAATTCCTGAAGCCTTGAGTAGAGCCTAGAACTGTCAGTTTGTGGCGCAGTAGCGGCTACAGAACTACAGAGCCTGTTGTATTTTAACTGGAGACAATGGGTACAAACCCATCGAAACGTCAAGATAGAGCACGAGTGGGTCCTTTTCAGGGGCCAACTAACCCTGTCTACAGAATACCGTACATATGTGTAACCTCAAACCTCCTTAAAAAAAACCTATTATAGTCTCATAGTGCAGACACTGTTATGCACGAAGACTGCAAAGGGTTTGTGCCTGCAAACTTGTATCAGACCTACTAGTAAATGTACCTTCAGGTGAGTGTTTCACAAAAACTAAGATTGACTTTAAAGGACAAGTCCACTCCAAAAATAACTTACTTTCGATAAAAGCAGAAAAATCAGACAAACCATTCAAAAAAAGTTTGAGCGAAATCGGATCACTAATAAGAAAGTTATGAATTTTTGAAAAAGTATGTAAAACTATGGAACAATGAGAATCGCAGCACAATTTGCCAAGATGGTTATCAGTTTGTGACGTCATGTCCTCACAACTTATCAATAGCTATATAGTTTAATCCCATTAATTTCCCTTTTTATCCCCCAAAACTTGATTTCCCCATGCCTTTGCCCAGGTTATATGATTTGTATCATATTGCGTGCGTGACATTTCCCAAAAACTTATGAATTTTGAAGAATTTATACTTTTTTTAAAATATTGTTTTTTATAATTATTGATTTTTAGTTTATCAAAATTCAATTTTTCATGATTTAACTGGACAAAAATTACTCTTTATTTGTGCATCCACACAAAAACATATTACTAACAATCTAACTTGGATGCTGGTGTGAAGAAATAAGATTCTTGGATGTTTATCAGTTTGTGACGTCATGTCCTCACAACTTATCAATAGCTACATATAGCTTATATATAGTTTAATCCCATTAATTTCCCTTTGTATCCCTCAAAACTTGATTTCCCCATGCCTTTGCCCAGGTTATATGATTTGTATCATATTGTGTGCATGACATTTCCCAAAAACTTATGAATTTTGAAGAATTTATACTTTTTTCTGAATATTGTACATGTTTCATAATTATTGATTTTCAATTTATTTCATGTCATTAAAAATTCATAACTTTGTTATTAGTTATCCGATTTTGCTCAAACTTTTTTTGATTGGTTTGTCTGATTTTTCTGGTTCTATTGAAAGTAAGTTATTTTTGGAGTGGACTTGGGCTTTAAGTTGAACTTAACTATGGCAGGCCTTTCATGCAACTAGTTTCTCTAACCATTACTTTTTCAAGAGACGTACATGTACAAATCCTGGTCACAAATCTACGTGTACGTCACAAATCTACAGAAGTTACCTGAATCGATTGTTCATTATTGAAGGAAAAAGTATTATCTAAAGATCATAATTAAGAGAACAATGGTGAGAGCAACAAGTGGCATGAATGGC